TTTCTCTTCAATTTGTCATTCCCAGCATAGTAAACCATGTGGTTGTCAGATTCAAAATGGCCAATACCAGTTCATTTCAGCTCACTAATGCCTAAGGTATCGATGTTTATGCGTTCCATTTCATTTTTGACAATATCTGTTTTTCCTAGATTCGTACTTCATACATTCCATGTTCTGATTATTAATGGATGTTTACAGCTGTTTCTCTTCATTTTGAGTTGTGCCCCATCAGCAAATGAATGTCCCTCGGGCTTTTCTCTCAAAGGCTTTACTCCATTCACGTCATCACTGTCAGCTCTACTTTGAGGAGGCTTTTCCCCAATCTCATCTTGAGGGCCTTCCAACATGAGGGGCTCATTTTCTGGCACTATATATAACAGTGTTCTCTGCTATTCATAAGGTTTTCAGTGACTACATATTTGGAAGTAGTTCATCACTCCTTCTTCCTAGTCTGTCTTCATCTGAAAACTCATCTGAAATTTGTCCAGTGGCATAGGTTCCAGAATCACCAGTGGCATAGGTTCCAGAATCACAGCAATTCACAAACTACCACAGTACGACAGACTGACAGACAAGTGGTGGAAATTAGACACTGACTACCCAAAGTTGGGGTTGGGGGGCAACAAAGGCATGAAGTGAATGGCTTACACGTTTTCAAGAGTGGGCTTAGTTTCATAGGGTGCAGAGGAAGGTAGAATCCCATTGAGTGGTTTCCAACCTATCTAGAAGGGACTGGTGAAAGGAAATGGGGGCAAGACTCTTGTGGTTAAATAGTGAATACTTGCTGTCAGGACTGATTGTGACTGTTGCAAGTGTAAAGGTAGTTGTTTTGTAATAAAAGGAGGGGAGTGGTTGATCTTGTAGTCCAGAAGCATAGGACCCTGGGACCATCAAAGTAGAAGAGTGGAGTGTGGGACCCTATCCAGAGAAGAAGTGATGCCAGATATGAAGGCAGAGACGACGATATGGAGAGACGGAGTGGCTAGGGACTCTAGACTCAAGGAGGGAGAGGTCTATGTGCTGGTAGTCAGGGGGCTGATGTGAAGGGTATACCCTTTTGTTGTTTGAATGTTTATGTATTCCTGAGTGCTTCAGTGTACATCCAAAAAAATAAAAAAATGGAATGGAAGCAAATCTAATGCTATTGAATGATGATACATGGAGGGGGTTGCAATCATTGCAGTGAAATGAAATACGATAGGATTAATGATGTAAAGCTGATGCTATGTAAACTGTTACTCAATTCACAATAAAAACGTATTTTTTAAAAAGAGAGAAAGTAGAAGTGCAAAACAAGTAGATAAGTAGATTATGTGATTCAAGAATAAACAGCACTTGCTACAATTTGATGAACTTGACCTATACTTATGGATGTAGTAGCTCAAAATACCAACTGAGAGGGAAGGAATCTTTGCTTCAAGTATCAATGCTATCCCCTTTGTATACACTGTAGATAGAGATGGTCAACTTAGACATTGTCTACCTAAAATGTGTGGCCGATAAAGGCATGAAGTGGCTGGCTTACAAGTTTTCAGGAGGCAGTTTAACAAGAGTGTGTGGAGGAAGGCAGAGATCCCAGTGAATAGTTTTCATCTTGTCTAGATGGGTCTGGTGAAAAGAGATAGGGATATGATTCTTATGATTCAATAGTGAGTAATTGTTATCCTGACTAACTGCAACTGTAAAGGTAGAAGTTTTGTAACAAAAACAGGGGAGTAGTTAATCTTATAGCCCAGAAACAAATGAGGACACAAGGACCATCAAGGCAGAAGAGCACAATCGGTTTGCGGGACCCTATCAAGAGAAGCAGGAACACCAGAGATGGAGGCAGAGATGAGGACATGGACAGAGGGAACAGCTGAGGACTCTGGACTCATTGAAAGAGAGGGTCAAATTATTTATATCCCTGAGTGTTTTTGTGTATATCCCCCCCCCAAAAAAAACCCAAATGGAAACAAATACTGTTGAATGATGATGCACAGAGGAGATTGTAATTATTACAATGAAACGATGTTGTAAAGCTGATGTTCTCCCATGCAAACTATCACTCAGTTCACTGATAGTTTTTTTTAACAATAAAACGTTAAAAAGAAAAAGAAAAAAAAAAAAAAGAGTTAAGGTAACAGAGTGAACACTTGCTTTATACACAATCTTTCAATAGCAGTGATCTATGAGTAAATAGACAAGCATGCTCAACAGAATAGGGAAAAGAGTGGAAGTATGCCTAGGAATGTATATAGGTTTGACAGGTAAATTACATGTGTAATTACCTTTGCTGCAAATATGTCCATGAATGTGGTGGAGCATACGGAGGGCAAAGTTATGAAAACTTCTTACATATAACCAAACACCTTGAAAGAATGAGTCACTGGATCTGGGGGCTCAAACTATGGCCTCAGGAACACCAAGGTCAATTTGCATAACAGTCCAAAAAGACAATGTTCTCCATCAAATGGGTCCTAAAAGCTTGTAAGGAAACATCTAAAGGGCAATTGTTGGCCTCTCCTGTCCAGAAGAAAGAAAAGTGAAGAAAATTGAAGACCCACAGAAATAGTTAGTCCAGTGGATTAATGGACCATGCAAACGTTGTCTCCACGACTCTGAGACCAGAAGAACTACCATTGCCAACTGTGATGAAAGGAATCACATTAGAAGATCCTGGATAGGGAGGGTGAAAAATGTGAAACAAACTCAAAATCATGAAGACCAGGTTTATTAGGTTTAATACAGGCTGATGAAAACCCTGGGACCTTAGTTACTCTACAGCCCTGAAAACAGGTCACTTTTCAGCCAAAATAAAAGAAATATGTGGTACTTTTCAGCCAAAAAAATAAACCCACTGCCATCAAGTTGATTTTGACTTATAGCAACCTTTTAGGGTTTGTTGTTAAGTGCCATGGAATCGGTCCCGACTCATAGTGACCCTGTATAGGGCTCCTAAGATGTAGCTGGTGAGTTTGAACCACCGACTTTGAGATTAAAACCTACCTTGCGGTCCAGCACATTATCCTGCAGCACCATAGGGTTTACTTGACTGTAAATCTTTATGGGAGCAGACAGTGTCATCTTTTTCCCTCAGAGCAGATGATGGGTTTGAACTTCTGATCTTGAGGTTAGCAACCCAATGCTTATCTCATAATACCACCAGGGTTCCTCTAGCCAAACAATAGATAGGTTTATAAGGAGAACAATGACACTAGAGAGTTACACACACCTTAGGATAATGAACCATTTGAGATCAAAAGGTCAACATTTATCCAAGAACATATTTCAGAAGGGATAGGAAAGGAGAAATTGAAACAGAACACAGAGAGAAAGTGGTATAAATGATGTTACATTGTTGGTATTGCATTCAATTATGTGAAACAAAATATGTATGAATTGTTGAATGGAAAATTGATCTGCTCTGTAAACCCAGTTCACAATAATATATTAATTAAGTACAATCTGTAAAACAACTTAGGTTTAAGATTTATGAGTTTTCAAGATCATCTTTCCTTTTTAACCCTTGTTTTCATAATGTAGCATTTCTTTTATTAGGCTGAACTGGAAAAACTTAAAGCTCACCTGGGTCGTCAGTTGAGCATGCACTATGAGTCCAAGACCAAAGGCACAGAAAAAATTGTTGCTGAAAATGAAAGGCTTCGTAAAGAACTTAAAAAGGTATGACTTTTATGACTAGGCAGTGTTTGGTTCTGTTGTGCATAAGGTCGTTATGAGTAGGTACGCACTCAACAGCACCTAACAACAACAATATATAATAACTAAGTAATCTTAAAAATTGAAAATAGGTTCTTGATGAGAATGTTTAATAGGAGTAGAGATTTGGGACTTGTTTTATGCATCCCATCACATAGTTCACAATGAGGGGCATTGATAATAAAATCATTAATAAATTTTGAGGTAGAAATTCAGAAACTAGACCATTTGAATTCAAATCCTAGCACTATTACTTTGATCATGAGAACCAGGGAAATTATTTTCCCCCTCTTTGGGTCTCAATTTTCTTACCTATAAAAATTGGAATGAAGTATACCTATCTCACCAGGCTGCTGTGGGGTTTAGATTAGTGCTTGTGACCTAGAACAGTGGTAAGGAATATGGAAAACTTCTTTACTAACCAAACAATAAGACTCATTTTTATTTAAATAGAAAATTACCTTCCTTGACCCAGGCAAATAGGTACGGTGAATTATATGAATACTCTAGGAAATTTAATTGAAATTCAGATACTTGGAATAATATGTGAATATATCATGAAGCAATAGTGATACTGTGCATTGAATGTGAATTTTTAATAGTGGCAATGATCTCTGTTACTTGAACTTAGTTTATGCTTATAGCTATATCTCTCAAGTATTAGGAAATCAAAGCAAAACAACCTTTAAATGTATGAAGATAGAGTAATACCCCATTATTCTAAAAACTTTGCAGAAAAAGCAAAGGGACAAATTAAGATTAAAGTAACCACTATAGTAAAATGTTTGTAAATGTATTTTTCCAGCCTCATTTACATGCTCTCATCTTCTAATTATTATAACTAGATTGCTCTTTCAGAGTGAAGGGAGCATTGCATTTCTATTGACATTTTAATACGCATGTAGAACTTCAGGTTATTTTTTGTTTTCAACTTTATTAATTTTGAGTATATAGCATCTGTGAGAATAATATTGTGTTTTGCCATAATGTACTAATTAGTTTTTAATGATAGGAAAATGAAGCTTCAGAGAAATTACGTATCGCCAAGAATAATTTAGAGATATTAAACGAAAAGATGACAGTTCAACTAGAAGAGACTGGTAAGAGATTGCAGTTTGCAGAAAGTAGAGGTCCACAGCTTGAAGGTGCTGACAGTAAGAGCTGGAAATCAATTGTTGTTACAAGGTAGGAATAGTTTAAAATTAGTGTAAAGTTTAATCAGTTCTATTTCTAGCATCCTTGTTTTAAAAGAATATGACAAAATCTGATTAATTTAATTCCTTGCTGTGAATAGTTTGTGGATTTTCTGTTTGTTTTAACATTATGCTCACTTTTTTTTTTTTTTTTTTTCTATACCAATATTGATGAAATATTAGTCGGCACTGTAGGATAAGCACTGGACTGCATGGTTAGTTTGAACCACAAAGCAGGAGATTCAAACACGCCAGCTGCTCTTCAGAAACCCTATACAGGGTTGCTATGAGTCAGAATCAACCCAATGGCATTTAACAACAATATTGATGAAAAGTCTTTTCCTGAAAATGTGTAACCAGTTTGGGTGAAAGGGAATGGAACAGAGCAGAACTGCATCTGAGCTAAGGATGTTGGAGCTGAGTGGCTGTGAAGCTACTGTCAACTGTGTGCCTGGGATGATGGTGCCCAACTTCTCCTGGGTCCCATTTTTCTCCATCTACAACTTCAACTTCTTGGTTGTCTTAATTTTCTACCTCAAGTAGAAATGGGAAGTAGAAATCAGCTAGGTGTAGTTAAACTGTTCTAGCACAACCTATGGCATACTTGATTTGGGCTTTGTTGCATTGCTTCAAAGACAACTTTCTCTTCAGATAGCCCTGATGGATGAATTGAGAATACACCTAATCCTCATTTATCTTGTTATCCAACATTTCACATTTGCAATAACTTTGAAAAAATACTCAGGCAATACTTGTGATGTTCAGAGCCCCATCATTGGGCATAAACTATAAGACCCTAGCAATGACCAGGCCACTGCTATTGTTCATCCAGGACATCTTGGTCCAGCCATGGAGGGCCTGGGAAATTGCTGTATGATGTGAAGTTTCAAGTGGACAGAAGGGGGCAAAGCAAGGTCCAAAGGTGTTGGGGAGTTCCATAGGAGGAGTCAGGAAATGGAGGCAAGGGAAGGGACGGCGTGGGGCTGTGGGACAAGGTAGACAGAGAAGGAACAGGTTCCCACCCTGGGCAGGTAGTAGGCAACACCGAATCACACTATCACCCCCAGCTCCTGCGGGCTCCATGGTATTGGTGAAGAAGTGTTATGGAATGGGACCTACCATGCATCCTGAGTTGTGCTGGGGACACCCAATGAGCAGTAAGCAACTGAATGGAGCCATGAGTGCCAAAGATAGTGGATGAGCGCCTCTCAAATAATGCCAACTTTGCATAAAGACCTGGTCTTTGAAACCCATGTTTTTAAGTAAGAAATGGCTGTGTTATTGTCCTACTAGTCTCTGCTTTCTGGTACTTTCTTCCATCATATGAAACTTAGCTACAATGTAGGATTTCCTGCCTGTGAAACTAAAATTGCTGGCTGTGAAAGATTACAATAAATGTACGTATGTTAATCACCACCATCATCATATCTACCTTTAGGCAGTTGCTTCTAGTGTCTGGAAGCTAGAGATAGGTCTGGTCATATTTCCCCCATTAAAGTCATTATGGACTTGCAATCTTTACTCTCTAAGCATATCTGCTGGCTCCCATTTCAAAGGCAAACTCATCTTTATTATACTAAATTCATAAAATTCCTATGTCCACACATTACCAGTTTTCACTTGATGTCTTTGAGGACTCCATCTGCCCTTCCTGCTGTTGGGAATTGCTTTGGTGTGGGGTAGGAAGGCAACCCACCATTACTACAACCAGGATGGGAGCTTCCACCCCACAGTGGGTCTGCTGTCCTGTGCTTGCCCATCAGCCAAGTATAAGGAGAATAAAGAAAAGCTAAAGGAAGCAGATTAGAGGCCAACCCAGGTGACCAGGGTCTGGGTCTCTGATTGTTATCCTAATATGATACCTAATCAGAATCTCTCCTTCCTCCATCTGTTGTTATTGTTAGGTGCTGTCAAGTTAGTTCCAACACAACAACCCTATGCACAACAGGAAAACACTCTGCCTGGTCCTGTACCATCCTTCAGTCATTGCTATTTGACCCATTATTGCATCCACTGTATCACTCCATCTCAGTGCGGTTCTTGCTCCTTTGCATGACCCTCTGCCTTATCAAGCATAATACCCTTCTCCAGGACTGGTCCCTACTGAGAACATGTTCAAAGTATGAGAGGCGAAGTCTTGCCATCCTTGATTTTAAGGAGCATTCTGCTGTACTTCATCCAAGACAGATTTGTTCATTCCTCCCCTCTAATCCTCACTTTTTCCTCCCTAAACTGAGTCGCTGAGTCAGAACCTACTCGATTACACACAACACAGTGATCTCAGTTCCCAATCCACTGCTCTTGTAGTCCTGAAGTCAGTTTTTAAAATTGTTTTGTCTATGTGTAGAATATAAAATTAAAGCATCTGGCTATAGAGACTGACACACACATGCAATCAGATTAGCCATAGCATTAACTAACATTTCTTCTTTTTGATTTTCATTTCCCTCTCTGTTTGTAGTACCTTTTTGAAACAAAATCTCAGTTCTCCTTTTAAGACAACATGTTTTCATGTATAAGCATTTCAGGATTTCTTAGAAGATTTCATAGTTGAGAGTTTAGCAGATTAACAGGTGTATTGTATGAGGGTGCTTCAGAAATTGAAAAATGAAATTAAAAGATAATGGAATTTTCCACGAACGCTTTGAAGGCTCTAATATTACCAGCAGCAGAATTTTTCATATATATGTATTTATGTTTTATTGTGAATTTATATTTTTTTTAAAGGTGACTTAACTTTGAATATTATACTTAATATTTGGAATTTATCCTATAGATAATTATATTTTTACATATTAATATTCAGTACATTTGACAAAATGTTTAAAAGTATTGATTTATGTCATACTTGTGGAAATAATGGGGATGTCACTCAGAAATCCTGATGAAAAATTCACCTTCCAATCTCCTTGGCTTGACCTTTCAGTCTTCTTGTTGCTGTTAAGTGCCATCTAGGTGATTCAGACCCATAACGAACCTGTATAGGGTTTCCGATGAGCAGTTGGTGAGTTTGAACTGCCAACAAGTGTTTATCTTCCAGCAGCACACCGGGACTCCACAATCTAACCCCTTCCTGTTCTCCTGACAGCTTTATAACTCTTCCTTCAAGTACTGTTTCTCTCACCTATGGGTTTGCATATTCTTTCCTGCTCCTTGGATTGTCTTCTATGTATATGTGTGTGTGAGAGAGAGAGAGAGAAAGAAAGAAAGAAAGAAAAGTTTTACTATGTTTAAGTATATTCCTAAAATTATACATTAGTTTAGAATTTAATGAATTCTGATCCATTTTACTTTCTATTTTCTTGTTTTGTGAGTGAAAATGTATTATATTTAAACTTTTACATTAGTCAATTTCTGGCTCCATCTTTGTTTATAACCTTGGTTAACACCTAAATATTCTATTGTTATTGAATTATCTGTTGAATTTACTTGGCTGTACAATTATTGTTCATGGAAATAGCAGACAGGAAATCAAACAAAATAATATATTGGACAAATCTGCTACAAAAAAAAAATCTCTTTAAAATATTAAAAAGCAAAGATGTCACTGTGAAGATTAAGATATGTCATGGTATGTCAATTTGCCTCAAAAGCTGGACAATGAATTAGGAAGGGGAATTGATATATTTGGATTATGGTATTGGCAAAGAATATTAAATGTGCCATGAACTGCCAGAAAAATGAACAAGTCTGTGTTGGAAGAAGTACAACCAGAATGTTCCTTAGAAGCAAGCATGCCAAAATGTTGTCTCACATACTTTGGAAGAAACTGTTATTAGGAAGAACTAGTCCCTGGAGAACGACATCATGCTTGATAAAGGGTCAGCAAAAAAGGGGGAATATCCTCAATAAGAGAGCGTGATGCAGTGGCTACAACAATGGGTTCCAACATAGCAACAACTATGAGACTAGTGAAGGACTGGACAGTGTTTCATTCCATTACACATAGGGTCACTATGAGTTGCAGTCAACTTGACAGTATCAACAGTCTTTGATGAAGAATATTTTTCACTTACGATTATAGAGTTATCAACTATTGAAACTTAATAAATATATAGCAAAATGTTTGGCTGTAAGAAATAGTATAATAGGGTTCTTATTTTTGTGTGCTTATTTGAATTGTTTTTTAAATCAGTGGGGGGAAATATTTGCATGCCTAGACAATTTTTTTTCCTTTATAATTTGTAGGATGTATGAAACCAAGTTGAAAGAATTGGAAACTGATATTGACAAAAAAAATCAAAGCATTATTGATCTTAAACAGCTTGTAAGAGAAGCATCAGAAAGAGAACAAAAGGTTAAGAAATATACTGAAGACCTTGAGCAACAGGCAAGTAATGTAATTTTTATTTATCTGATAAAATATTCCATGCTTTGGCTTTATTTATTATAGAGATAAAAATGAAGTCTTGATTAAGTCTTTCTCTAAAGGGCCCACCTAAGTGTTTGATAGGACATTCCCCTATTTCTTTTAGCCAGAAACCTTAGATCATTGACTCCTTTCTTTTTACATACCCCTTATCTTTTTAATGATTGTATCACCTCTACTTAAAAATACAACCCAAGTCTGTCTACTACTTCTCAGCACCTCCACAACAATAGCGCTGCTCCACCTGTTTTCTCACACTGGGACTATTAAAATAATCTCCTAATTGGTCTCTCTGCTTCCATTTCACCCCTCCCTCTCCCTAGTCTATTCCCCATACACTTGCCAAAATGATCCTTTTAAAACATAAAGCAGGGCTCATTTCAGCAGCAAATCTACTAAAACAGAACAATGTAAAGAAGATTAGCGTGCCCCTCCTTGCAAGGATGACATGCAAATTAAGGAAAAGAACCTGCTGAGTGCTTGTGTTCTCCCTCTTAGTGGATGAATGATGCATAGTGACTTCTAAAAGCTTACAAGAGGCCATCTAGAGCACAAAAATTGGTCTCCACTTATAACAACTAAGTAAGAAGGAGAGTCAGGAATAAGAGGCATATCTGGTAGCGTAGTAGTTATGAGTTGGGCTGCTAATCTCATGGTCAGCAGTTCAAAACTACCAATTGTTCTGCAGGAGAAAAATGAGGCTTTCTGCTCCCGGAAAGATTTACAGTCTCGGAAACCCAATACAGAGTGGCTATGAGTCAGCACCGACTCCACAGCACATAATCACCACCACCATGGATTCATGGCTATTTGCCTCCATGG